TCATCAACAAGTAGGTAAACATTCTGCGTTTTTTCTTATTTGATATTGAGATTTGTAAATATGAGTGAGTAAAGATTAGTAGATCTTATAGAGTGTACACATATGTTAATCTGTTTAGTGTGAAAGGGTGATCCGGGTCATTGAAGAATTTATCCCACAGTTTTCATCATAAAAATCACATAAAAAGTCTGTCAGCCTAATTATAGTGTTTATATTATTTATTTATACGTTAGAGTTTTTCGATCACCAAAAATAATGATGCATGATATTGATTTGATGATTGTCGACAAAAATAGTGATAATCACATGAAAAATTTCATCATGTGCATGTAACACGGTAAGAAAATTCAAGTTATACAGAAAGTTTCAGAAGTTACTAGCGAAAAAAATGATTATAACTTCGTCATTTTTTCGGCTAAATGAACTCATTTTTTTTTAAATAGAAAAATGTTCAAAATTTTAGATATAATAGAAAAATAAAATGAAATAATACTCTTGAAAGTTTAAAATAAAAAGCTTGTCAGCGTTGCTTCTACGAAGCAAAAGTATAAAAACTTCCTATTGAACTATTGGACTATACCATAGAACATGTAATAATATATTGTAATAATTTTTAAAACTTTTGTCTAACAACATCAGATCAATAACACACTGTCGTCAGTAGTCCATTCAGTACATTTAAAAACACATTTCAGTAGCCGTAAACACCAAATTTAAGCTGAAATTTGATCAATCACAATTTCACCCCGAAATTTTACAGCTACTGCCCAGGCACAAAAAAATTGGCCTTAAAACGCGTTAAATGTTTCATTTGAAACGAAGAAAAACGCGTTTTGGGATTGAGTCTGCAACTCCTGAATCGTTCTAGTAACCAACGAACGATGGCTACTCATCTGGCTACCCAGTGGGGCTTGATCTTAAAATAGTTGAAAGTCTATAATAAAGGAAATATAAAACTGATGATCTAAAACTGAAAAAGAACGAAAATACGATGATATTTCTTAAAACACGTTTACACGCGTTGCATCCCGTAGAAAATGGGTCAAAAAACGGGAGTTTCGTAAAGCGTTTTATTGTCGTTTCTAACGACTTTTTTGTCCCTGAATGACAAAAAACCCTCTGCAAACCACAAAAATCTTCGTATATAAACTTTATAATTCAAACTTCCTTTCCCTTCGGGAAACGGATAAGTCCTAGGAAGTGTTCACAAAATTATTGTATTAATGGTAAAATTTGAATCTGTAACATTGATACGTCGTCATTTACAAGGCAGTATTTTGGTCAGATATTCCAACAGACAAGACAATAGGTCAATTAATGATAAATTTCGTTGGAATGGATTGTTTGAAGACGGTAATCGTACAGGAAGGCTGCTAGTTGTCACCAGCGATAAATTTCTTCCAATTGTTGATCATCTCGATTCTCAGCCAGCAAACAGTCTTCATTACATTTCAAATGAATTAAATATTTCTCTAAGATAGATGTGGCATATAATACGTCAAATTTTTTATTACAAATCGTACCAGAGATTCGCACGGGCCGAAAATTATGATCCGGCCCGATGCTGAAAGTTTTCGAACCAAACCCGACTCGACCCGACTAAACGTAGAATTTATCTGGCCTGGCCCGACCAATCGTGAAACTTTTCTGGCCCGGCCAGATCCGACACTTTGCAAGATTTTCTTCCTGCATCTGTTATGCTTTTGCTGACTAAGCGGTGTAAACGTATTTCTCAAGCTAATATTTATATTTTTATCATTTCTCGGTACCGAGTGTACACATAAATTAAAAATTCACGCATGCTTAAAAATTCTAAGTTGGGTCCGGCCCGATCATTCTATAAAATTCTCTATCCCGGCCCGGTCCGGTCCGACCAAAAGCCAGGCCCGTATCGACCTCTGAACTGTACAACATGCATTAGACATCTAGCGTATATCGCATCTTCTTTTATTTCATCTTCTTGATCTATTTAGTCATCGATATAGCAAAAATTCATTATTCTAAACGGTTATCCACAAAGGATGACTCATCTCCGTCTAAAGCTAAGAAATTTTCTACTTCCATTCTTTTTTTCGTTCTTTCTTTGACCACATGCGCTATAACTGGATAACCGTTTAGAACAACGAATTTTTGCTATATCGATACTAAATAGATCAATCAATAGATGAAATAAAAGAAGAAGATGCGATATACGCTAGATATCTGTTCAAGTCAACAATCCTATGATAAAGATGAAGAATTAACAGTAAAAATAGTTGAAAACTTGATGATGATGAATCAACGGTACAGATTCAAATTTTACCATTAATACAACAATTTTTATTTTAAATTTTTAAGAGTTTTATTTCATTTTATTTTTCTATTATATTAAAATGTTGAACGTTGAACATTTTTCTATCAAACAAGGAAAATGACAAAATTACAGTCATTTTTTTCGCTAATGACATTTGATATCCTCTGTATAGTGAATAACAGCAACCACATTGGTTAGATTAGAGGTGTTGTAAACAATATGGTCATATGATATAATTCTTCAGCACTTGTAACTGTTCAAGCTTTGCAAACAATCTATTCTTTACATGAGTTTTCTACTATTGTGTATTATATACGAATTTTTCTCCTTCACAGTACCCTCTCTAAAAAAATTGTATTCTTGAAATCTGACAGAAAAGGGGGTTTTCACCATTCAAAATGGATTTGTGAACCTTCGAAAATGCTCACATGATTTTCAAAAATGACACTATAGGATACGGTTTCGATGCTTCCGAAGCTCAACAAAGATTTTTGAGCTGATAAGGAAATTCGTTTCTGTCGGTTTTTCCAAGAATACAATTTTGTTTTAGAGAGTAGTCATCGTCATGAATTGACTTTTCTCTGTTATTTTTAGATCTTTGAATAATAGTACATATTGTCAGTTAGTTAGTTGAACTGTTGCAAACTTTTCAATGGAGATAATCTAATGTGATTCGATATAAGAATTTAAAGTATACACGTAAGTATCATTTTTGAAAATAATTTTAAAGAACTCTTTAACGGGGATACTCTCACTCTCGATTTTTTTTCCATCAGTTTGTAGAGGACACTTTTAAATGTACATTCTGAAATGTATTTGGTTCCCGTACTTATAGTTTTCGAGAAAACGTTTTTTTTTTAAGTTAATTCAAATCTTTTTAAATGTGAATAAAATTTATACTTTTAAAGATGAAAATCTCTTTTTGGCATCATTCGATAGGGGACATCAAACTCCAGATATATTTTTGTCGTTTTCGAATAAGACTTGACGGAGAAATTTAAATTTTATCTTTCTGTTAGAATTTCGAGTTTACGGAATTTAAAATAATCCCCGTCTCATATTCCACAGAATTCGATTCTGAACAACTTTTGTACCTATACTTTTGCCTCAAAATGCCTCCTTCGAGCGAAATTGTTGGCAAGGTACTCACTAAACATTAGTTTTTGCTCGAAAAAACACTCGAAAAAAAAAGTAGTTAAAAGCTTCCTCAAATTTTCGAACAAAAAACTTTAAGATACACCTTATCCGTCACAGAATTTCACGGACTACAAAATAGGCTGCTTTATACACACCTGCGTAACGACACATGTGTTCATCATCGTTTGCGATAAGGAAAATAATAAAAGAAATCACTTTTAATAATTGGGCGCATCAAAAACGTCTGAGCACGTCTCTTTATTGCACAAAACGAATTTTTTAACTCTTCAAAGATCAATCCGATAAAATATAAAGTAGTCTATCTTATAGTCCGTAAAATCCTATACCAGATGAGGTGTCACTCGATATTTTTGATTCGGTCATTATTGCACAAATGCGACTTTAAAGAAATAGAGCAGACGAAATTAACGTTAATTAGCGATAATTAGTAAAAACTCGGAAGCAAAGAAAATTTTTTTCACACTTTTTGTCATAGTAAATATTCTTCACACATTTCTCTGTCGATCTACGCAAGAATTATGCTTTTAGAATTATGACAGAACGTGCAAGGTTTTTTTTAAAAAAGGCACAAACTTAAAAATTTCATAAAATTTTTTAACTATTATCGACGCTAAAATTCAAGGCACTCAGTTGCTTTTCGAATAACTCCAAAACGATAAAAAATAAGACTTGGCGATTTCCATTCCAACATAGTCCAAAGTATCCTCTTCAAAATGCGAACTAAGCGAACTCTTAAGTTGTCTCGGTTCAGATGTGGCATCAGATTTCCTGAGAGTCTCAGGATCACTATTTCTTTAGGTGTCGTAATTCCAGAAGTAATGGAAACACAGGTAATCAACCCCGCTCAATTTAGCGGCAATATTTGTTTTCCGGAAAACCTCCAGGAACCTAGTGAAAACCTATATTAGGTGGAATAAACCATTTTTGTCTATTTTCAAGTAAAATTAACAAATTCATAATCCAGTCAAGATTCATCGAAATTATGTCAGAACATCAAGATGTATTCTATTTTATCGGCTCAATACTATGCAGTTCAACAGAAGCTTTAAAAATCAACAGAAAATACTTTGGTATTTGAAAAAGTTTTCTAGAAATCTTCTGAGAAGTACAAGAAGGTTTTTTACTATTCTCAATTAAAAAATCGTATTGAATAGGTAAAATAGAGTACATCTTGATATTCTGACATAATTTCGATGGATCTTGACTGGATTATGAATTTTTTAATTCGTTTTTTTAAGTTCATATCTAAATTGATAATTAATGGTAACCGATTGATTTTTAACCGATAATCAGAAAATAGACTTTGCTTCTACAGAAACTGAATACTTTTGTCTTATTCGTTATATTTAAACTCAGAACGTCTGAATATCAGAGTCTGATATTAAACATAGGCATGAGAGTTGCTTGTAGCATTTGATTTAGCGATTACTCATTACTGTTAAAGACCGCTAACAATTATTCTCGACGACTGAGAACAGTCATACATTTATCTGAATATACACACTCTGTCATCTTTAATGCTTCTTTAGAAATCGATCATTGCTGAACAATGAACAGTCAAATACTACTTTACTCTGTATTCATATTCTATGTTCAATTTCAATATTCATCTCAGTTTTTATTACCTGGACCTGAAAAACTGTTTCTTGTACCATCCGTTGCATTTCGTTATCATTCATCCACATTAGGATTTACAGTCAATGCCAAATCAACTGAAGATTGGATAGTATATGCTCAAGGTAAATAAATTAGTCGTATTTCAACCAATTAAATAACATTTTTTTTTAAATCTACTTCAGGTTGGTTTTTTGAAGAAAATCCATTTCGCTCCTTTATCGCTCATACAGCTCTATCAACAACCGTGTCAGACATAAACGAAGAGCGTGTAGCTTATTTTACGGCTAGTGGCAAGAAACATCGTGAATTATGTCTAGAAGGTTTATCCAAACAACTATGTACCGAAACGGATAATAAAGGTCTTATATCGACAAAGTTTCGAATATCAAACAATGATATTGAAAAATATCGTCAACCAGGTGGAGTCGGAGGAAAAGTACTATTTCAAGTATCTACATTTAACACTTATCAATATATCAATGAAACAGGAGAAATCTATTTGTGTGATGACAATGGTATATCTTTCATTAGTGATATAGATGATACCATTAAAGTTACTGGAGTAACAAGTGCCAGACGTGTACTAGTGAATACGTTCAGTGGAGAATATAAAGCTATTGAAAATATGGCCAAACGTTATAGACAATGGGAACAAAGGTATAATGCGACATTTCACTATCTAACAGGTATACACCGACCGTTTAAACACATCACATTTAAGTATGTTAGAAGAGAATGCTAGCATATACATCTAAAATTCTTATTTTTCTAATGTTGATATTTTATGTCGTTGTAGCTAGTCCCGATCAGTTGTATCCATTTTTACGTGATTTTTTTGAACGTGAAAAATTTCCATTAGGTTCTGCTCATATGCGTCATTTCACATGGTTTGATAAAAATTTTATTAATTTTTTCATGTCTCAATCGTATATTAGTCAAAAATCAAAAGTATTAAAAATGTTTTTGGATCAAACACGTTCGCGATATTTCGTATTATTAGGAGATATATTTCAAAAAGATCCGGAAATTTATGCACGAATTTATGAACAATATCCACAACGAATTGCAAAAATATTTATTCGAAAATATTCAGATGATAGTGATGGACAAAAACGATTAGAGCAAGTGTTCAGTCGAATACCTAAAGAAAAATGGCAAACATTTGAAAATGGAAACGATTTACCAGAAAACTTTAAAATTGAAAAATAACTTATTGTATTACATTGTAAAAAATAAAGTGTGTTTAAAAATGTTAAATGGTTGGAACTTTTATTCAGATTTGAAAACGTGTATGAGTCAAACTAAGCGTAGATGCTTCATCAGGATCTGAGTCCCCAACTTCCAGTGAATTCCAAGATTCTAGATTTACAATTTCACTTAAACAGACAAAAGGGTTCCGGAATATCTCTAAATTACGAGAAGGTTCAAATAGCACAGATTCATACTGCAAGTGGGATTTGCAATTTCCATCTGAAATTAATGTGAAAGCAATAATAAAGCTTTTTATATACTAAAATTCCACTGTAAAAACTAATTAATCAGTAGATGAGAAATTTTCCTCCACAGCATAGTGGTAACGTCAATTCCCGGCAACTCTTTGAATTTGTCTTATTGGGAATTTAGATAATGTTAGGGAAACTTCAGTTTTTCGCCGCCGCCGCTGATCCGAAACTTTTTCAAAACTTTTTTATTTATTGAAAATTATAAGCTTTTTTAAAATTTTCACGCCGCCGTCGCCAAGGGCAGAAAATGTTTCTTTAGTTTTTCGCCGTCGCCACCGATAAAGTTTTCAATATGATACGGTAAAGTAATCGACTAACACCTCTAACCGTAAAACCACTTCCAGTCGAATCCTCATTAAAAATTTTCTGTAAGTATTAGATATTATTCAGTTTGTTTTACTCGTTCAGACGACAGGTTGATCAAAACATTCGAATGAAAATTGTGGATTTTGTAGGTAAAAAACTAGAAAACGGTGATTTTTTGACTTTTTTCGCGAGATTTTTGAAAAACTGGATTTTTCCCATAGAAAAAAGGCGTATGAAAGACGGCAAAGGTTGATATAATAAAATAACTTTATATATACAAAATAAAATGTAGGGAAAAACCACGTAGATCGTGTCGACGCCAGAAAACAAGTCCCAATCGAATTAAAAGGAACTCGTTGTCGTTCGATTCAGTATGTTGTTCAGTTTGTTCTATGACGAGTAGCTAGACCATGGTTCCTTGAGAATCCAATACCTCGAAAAGCATCTTTATGTTCTTGTTTTGGCTTTTCAGCTCTCGCTGTTTGTCTAATATAACTGTTTGTACATCTACCCAAGCAAAAACGACCCAATTTTTTGGGTTATTTATCTAGATTCAGGTCTACGTGCATCTAGATGTACGTGGAGCTGAATCTAGATAAATAACCCAAAAAATTGGGTCGTTTTTGCTTGGGATACCACTGTCATATTTATACCCTACTCTATT